CTTTCAAGGTAGCATATCGTTCCGGATCCATTGCTCTTCTCTTCTGGCGGACTGACCTGACCTTACTATCGACATTCAAGGCATGACATATGATATTTGGGTTGATCCCGACCATGTCGGCATGAGTCCATGTGAACACGTAGATATTTTCCCTGAGAAAGCTGGACAAGTCGCTGGCAAGCTAGGGGTTGAGATTACTTCCAATTCTCAACACTCGACTCGGCTCGCTCTAATAGACCGATCCTTCAGATAGGTCCTCAACCGGCCCACTACAAGTGCATTCTTGGATACGAGGATCCATGTTATCCTCAGCTGGGCCAGGCTGTGGCTCGATCCTGCTGATTGCCATTACCTGTTCAAGGCTGCCGACTAGAGTTCCTTTTCCTTTACACGCCATCTGCACTACCCTTACATAGTAGTCGCGAGATGCGCGTTGAAATCCGCTTACTTCCTCTATCCCCGTTGGGGTAGGAAACTTCATCTTTAGATGGTACATTGAGATGACTACTTTGAAGCTTCATAGTAGGGGTCGTCCCAAGATGTCATTGAAAGCGGATGGACAGTCCACTACTAGGAACTCAGTCATTTTGGTCATTTCATCGGTATCATCCAACGTGACCAGGAGCGAGATCGTCCCCTTGGGAATCAGATGATCCCTGGTGAAACCATACAGAGGGATGGAGGCAAGCTTCAGATTGACTTCATCCAGTTTCATCATTTCGAAAGCTCGCTGGAATAAGATGTTCACAGCGCTTCCATTGTCCACCAACATTCTGTGGACCTCACACTACCCTATTTCGGGCATGAAGACAAGAGCATCATCATGACCACCATTTGATTTTTTAATGAAATCTATACACCATAAATTCACTTAATTTGATGCAAATCCCTGGGTTCACGTCACGTGTCATCTTTTTTAGGTTAATTTTATTTACAAATTTGCCATTGTAACAGTATATAAGCTTACTTTTTAATTCAAATTAGGGATCTAATTTTGATTCATACTTTGTAAGCCTTACTTGTACACAAGGTTTTAAAACCCGACCCGGGGAGTGACCCGGTCAAGTCACCGAGTCACTAGGTTGGTTGGTTGAACCGATTCAACCACCAGGTCGAACCGTGATGTCATATGTTGATGTCAACGTGATGACGTCATTCTGACATCAACATGACATATAATAAAATAATAAAAAGCAGTTCAACCACTGGGTCGAACCAACAGTTCGTAACAAAAAAAAGGGTCAAATCGTGATTCAAATTGGGTCATTTGAAAATTCCGGTTTTTTAGTCAAATAGACCCGGCTCGATCACCAATTTCTGGTTCAACCGGTTGAACCAATCGGGCTAGGCTGGGTCTTAAAACCATGCTTGTACATAGCGAAAACACAAAAAACAATACAAGAATAGTAAACGTAGGATTTGCACTTAGCATCAGAACCATTTTAATTTTTTTTTTTTCTTATGCTATTGTTTTGTTTCTTATTCATCCATTTATCTAACATCGAAATCACAGGTTTATACAAACTCCTATGTAGATTCGACCATAGAACCTACATACTTCTCATTAGTGCAAATCACAACATCAACATATCCTTTTAATATTATTGATTANCTTCGTTCGATTCTTCGATTTTCGGCTCTCTTCCTTGGAAACAAGCTTCATCGTGCGTTGTCCTGCTCCGGAACTCTCCTATCTTCTGAAATCCGCTCAATTCTGAGTCAAAATTATCCAGTTTTGTCTTTATTTGCTCAAAAAGTCCATTTTAAACCTGAAACATGAAAAGTAAAGAATTAAGCACCAATTCAGGTAAAAATGCACTAGAAAGTACCTGAAATCCGTCAAAAAGATCAAATGAAAACTGTATAATTTACGGATTATCAGTGTGGTACCCATTATCCTGGTGATAGCGACAATATTTTTTACTGCTTCTGGCCGAAGGGGGATTTTTCATGGGTTCGGGCTCTTCGAGCAGACCGACCTCTTCTGACTTATCAATGATAGTTAAGATTGAGGCATTTAGAGGGGTGTAATGACTCTTATTGTGACCGCGACGAGGAACTAGGGCGTAAGATTTATTGGGCTCATATCGCTGCTTCTTTCCTTTCCGTTAATCATCATTAGCCCATCTGCGATCAGTCCTCCTGTTCTCCCCTCGATCGGGAGCATTACCTGAAGGACTAGGGTCATGGCGGTTGAGCGCCGCCATGGAGTTTTCAATGTGGAGGTACTTTTCTGTAAGGTTGTAGAAGCGGGTGAAGGAAACATCGTCCTCAGATTGTAGCTCCTTCCACAAATCCGTCTGTGGACGAACTCCCGCGATGATAAGAGTCCGAACGGATTCTTCGGGAGTGTGAGCTACTTTATGGAGCCTCTCTATGGAACCTGTCAATATAAGACTGGAGGGGCTCATCCCTCTCTTGCTTTATATTGCTCAGGTAGCTTAGAGGTATTGAGAACTTCCTGTTTGCTTGGAAGTGTCTCAGGAATATTGAGCTCATCTAGGGCCACGAGTTTACTTATCCTGTTGGGAGCGACCTGAACCATCGCTTGGCATGAGAGGTGAGAGTTACTGCCAAGCAACGACATTTTGCCAAGTCAGAGACTTGGTGGAGTTCCATGAGGTCGTTGAACTCGTATAGGTGATCATGCGGATCAGAATTTCCATCTGAATCTTGATGGGAGAAGAGCGGCTAATACTATTGGAGAAAAGGGAGACGCCTCTGCGACCTACCCTTGCTCATTTTGTTGAGCCTTTAGCTGATCCAGAGCTCACTACAACTCCTCAATCTGAGGCAGCGGGGCTATCTAGGGATTACTTTCTGCAACGTGGGTTCGACCCTCACGGTTGCAGTTAAGGAAAGATCATAGGTCGGATTCCTCCTCGCCTCGGCCAACAGTTTCGGCCAATCTCGACATACATTGGCTAGAGTTGTGTGATGGCGTTGAATGATTTGGGAAACTTTCCTGACCTCCGCGGTGGTACGAATCGACCCGCAGATGGTGGGAATCTTCCACGCGACGATGATCAAAGCCGTCATTTTGGTGATTATGGGAATCTCCTCGCCTTGGACTTTTGTGGGAGTGCTCATGCGACGTGGCACGGGACGGCTCGGGCCGCGACATGTCACCAAGTCACAATGCTACAGGTATCCTACCCAGGGTGCAATCGGTGTTCGCTGGTCCCTTAGAGCCTTTGGGTCTGCCATGCGCCACTTGCTTTCCCTTTCTTTGACGCGCTGTAGTGCACAAGGTATGGGCTTTTGTCCTTTTTCGCGCTTTCGCGTGACCTACAGGCTTTTTTGGCGATTGCGTCGCCTCATTTGATTCGGATGGCACTACCTGATCCAATTGGTCTAGCCTCCGACTGACCGTTTGGAGAGTATTGTTGAACCCCTCCAAGTAACTCATAATGGCTGGATCAAGTCGTGAGCTTGAAGGGATATCCCCCATTTCATTTTGCTAGGCTGGGGGCACTTCGGGAGGAGTGTCATCCTGTACCTAGGGGATTTCTTCATTGCCATAGGTGGTTCGTTCAAATTCGAAGCCGCAAGCCATTTGCTGTTGTGGGACCGATTAGTCAGAGATTCTCCTGATGAAGAACATGTACTAAATTAGGCCCTCTTTCTAGTGTCAAACTGTTGATGCTTGATTTTGACACAAACTATTCGCACGTGAGAAATGCTGAGTGAGCTCAGAAGTCACACGTGATTATGGAAGTGTTTAGTTGAATAAAATAAAAAGAACAACGTCTAAAGTGGTTTGGATGCTCACAAGGCGAATCCTACGTCCACTAATATTGTATTACTGAGTAAAGTTAGGTCGCGATTAGCGAGCTGACTTCTAGCTTTGAGAATACAAGAGAGAGAGAGAGAGAGAGAGAGAGAGAGAGAGAGAAATTAGCAAATCCCACAAATAGGAGAGAAGTCCTCTATTTATAGTGGGATGAACCAAGGTAATGATTACTAAATCTGCGAGTAGGGTAGATGTTGTGCAAATCCATCTCTCCGTCCCATTGCTCACTTGCCCGCGTGATTTCCTCGACTAGCGCAGGGATTGGACACGTGGATCGCTTCCAACCATTCACCAACCTGACGTACACCTACTACACTGGCAGGAGCTTGCCATTCACGTCATTAAGCGACGTGGCCGCATCTGAGCAGTTGTATAACTTCCTTAAGTTCTGACCACCCATGCTGACAAGGCTTCTGCGTCAGCCCTACTTTTCCAGGCATAACAGAGATATTTAACAAAATTAACCATATTATATATATGGATATGATTTAAATTAAGAATTTGTTTTTGATGAATTTATAGTTTCTTTCATTAGACAATCCATTAAGAAAATTGATTTCTTAGTTATTCCAGAATATTAATAATTTGTATAAATATTAATAATCACATCATTCCTGTCCATTCTATAAATAAACCATCAATCGCTTCCTAATGAACAAACTAATTACATAATTTGTATTTTATATTTGTTTAGTATAATAATTTTAAATGTATATTTATTTACCATTATTCTTATGATGATTTATAGTTTATTAAAAAAATAAATACATATCATGGTTAAGGATGACAATTTTAACTCATAAATCTATTCTGTTGGGATAAGTTTAGGGATATTAATTAGTGGGTCTGGATGTATATAATATTTATGATAAAAGATTTCTTACCATGATAGATTTGAAAAAAGTCAGTGATTTTATTTCCTTAAGAGTCAAGTTATCCATTGTTATCCCTAGTCATATATATATTTTTATTTTTTTTTTTTTTTTTTTTTTTTTAAAATAGAGGAGGAAAACATAAATATAAAAGTTAAAAAATGGCATGACAAAAGCAAAAAGAGACATTGTAAGACCATGCAATAGACACAAACACCAACACAATCACCACTCAACACTCACAGAATAATTCTTTCCTCTTCTTTCTATATAAGTCTTCTAAATATTTACGAGTACATTTACCCCAAACATCATTAGTTAGAGCACACATCAACATGTTGTACAACAACAAATCCTTTATCTTTTTCATTTTCACTTCTCTTCTTCTCTCATCCCATCTTCTTCATTTTATATCTGCTTATGCTTCTCAACATGGTATGTCCCTTTCATTTGAATGTTATGTTTATCATTGTAAATGTTATACTTTTTTGAGAAATTCGCTAGTATTAATTGATATTAATCCATTAGTTAACATGCATGCAATTGTTTAAGTCATCTTCTGTGTTCTGGTTCTGCATAAAATTGTTATCAAATTATTTGCCTTTTGTCACATTGATTTAAATATTTGGCTGCCCCTTTCTTGCTTCTGTCTCGTTTTTGATTTAAAAGAGATTGGTTTGTTCATACAGAAACAAGTTATTACAATTAGTTTTATTGTCATTTTGAGAACAATTATTGGGTAATCTTGATTTAAGGTTATAACCTATACGGATGTTAATTATTAGTTCGAATGTCACTGTATGACCTGTCAAAACAGTAACCTGACCCTTTGGTTCTTAATTCATGCTTTAAAATAAAGAAGGAATTAGCTTCTTTGCTTAGTGATTAGTTTGTTTTGATTTTTTTATTATTTACTTGCAAGACCATATCATAATTTTCCTTTTTACTTACTAGGTTCTTTCTTTAAAGTTTAAACTAGTCACCCTTTCTTTGTATCTTAATTAACTGCATGAAAAGAAAAGAAGAAATACTCTTTGCTTTCTTCTCTCTTTTTGCATCACTACAGATTTTGGAAACTGTAGTAAATCTTCTTCACGATAGTGAATTTACGCTATGCAGGATCATACAATTAATAGGCATGAATTACTAAAATTTATAATGATTAGTTATATAAGGTCATGATGAACTAAAATTTGATGATTTCATGGAATGTAGAAGACCATGAAACTCCATTCTCCTACAGTGAAGGAACTGGTAAAGGGCCAAAGAGCTGGGGCAACATCAACCCAAATTGGCGAACTTGCGGGAATGGAAAAATGCAGTCTCCCATTGACCTTGTTGGCAAAAGTTTGCTAGTTTCAGCTACTCTAGGCAAACTAAAAAGGGACTACAATCCGGCTTCTGCTGTTTTGCAGAAAGGACATTTCATTTCAGTAAACAACTACTACCACTCTTCTTTTAACCTTGCGTTTTTATTTCGAGCAGTGTTAATATCTTTACAAGATTAGATGTTGGAATATGTTATGGTAAAATTGCTTGGGATTGATTATGTATTTGTTTGTTGATAGAATTTAATTTCTAATTTTGAAATGAGTGGTTGCATTTGTCAGGTAAAATGGAAAGGAGATGCAGGACAAATTAACATAAATGGAACTTACTATAAACTAGTTCAGTGTCACTGGCATACCCCGTCTGAGCATACTTTTAATGGATCTAGGTTGCTTCATTTCTCCTTTAATTTCTTTGAAACTTGATTATGTTTTCTTTTGCTTTCACATTCACTTTTTATCTGCTGAATTGTAGGTATGAGTTGGAACTTCATATGGTTCATGTAAGTTCTGATAACAAGAAAGCTGTTATCGGAATTGTGTATGAATATGGCCATCCTGATCCTTTCCTTTCAAGGGTATGATTTTTCTTCTGTTTGCTTAACATTCTTCAGGAAGTTTCGTTTTCCTAGCATTCATTGAAGTACTCCATTTAAAATTTTAGTTCTCTCTGAGAAATTTGATGCTTTTCTTGTTCATTACTGTTTACTTTTTGTTTCTCTCATTGTTTCAGCTTTTCCCCTACATAAAATCACTAGGGGAGAAAGAAAAAGAAATTAGAAATGTTAATCCAGGAGATGTCAAATTCGGTAGTCGGAAGTACTACAGATATATAGGTTCACTCTCAACTCCTCCTTGCACCGAGGGCGTGATTTGGACGATAGTGAACAAGGTAACTTAAACAATATAATTTTGTTATCAAATAAACTCTTGCAAATTATTCCAAATAATACTCCATTGAAGCACTCTAATAAAATACTACTTGTCTGATACAGGTGAGGACAGTTTCAAGGGAGCAAGTAAGAGCATTGAAGGAAAAGGTTGAAGATGTAAGTGCCTTTTCCTGTAGAATTTGATCAACATAAATTAATCTCTTGTTGTTTTTATCTTTGTTGATTTCTTGGTTACCAGGGATTTGTGGAAAATGCAAGGCCAACCCAGCAACTGAAAGGAAGAGCAATTTGGTTCTATAGTCCATGAGAAAATTGCTGAGAGGTTACTATTCATTGATTTTAATGAAGACAGGAAGAGAGTGTAATTCACTTCCATTATTACTGCCTAAATTTGGTTGGTTTTCTTTATGTGTTCATCCTATGCATTGTGATGTTTAAACTAAATCAGCAAACAAAGAGTTATTTTTAAATAAGAGGATGATTTCAGAAGGGGAATCAGCATATTATTTACTCTTTTCACCGCACTTTTAATTTGATCTGCTGATTCTTTTCTTTCTAGTCTATTAGGATACATTCATTAAAAAAATCAAGGCATTTTTTACGAAGCTCAGATTAAAATAGTTCAAATTTGAAGTACTTGAGAATTACATAATAATGACATATATTGTTCGCTTAATTGAAAGTTTTTATTTTATAAGTATTTAACAAATTGAAAATTTATTCGATGGTTTACTAAATAATTAAATAAACTAATAAATAAATATTTATAGTAGAAAATGATTACCTAAACAATAATAATTAATTTTAATCCCTAAGCGAAATTTGTAATAAGTTTATTAATTTTATTATAAATACATACAAAAAATCAATTCAAAATTAATTCAATAAAGTATTTAATTATTAAAGTAAATCTTTCCTTTTAGTATTAACCAAGCGAAAAAATTATATTAAGTTAGCATGTTAATTATCAAGGAGATATTTGAAATTAACCTGCATTAAGCTTGCCATATATAATAGTTTTTTTTTTTTAATTTAATAACCGGTAATCACAATTACAATTAATCCATGTTTGATGGTCCCCCGTCATGTCTCCCAAGTTTTTTCATGGAATGTAGTGTTGACCGCGAAAACTCGTAGGTGCTGAATATGGTTATTTCACGTCCTGGACCCTCGACTGTTATGCTGCTCGGTAGACACAGGAGTCTCGCCAAGCCTGGGATCAGGTCTTCATTTGCCTGAAACTCGGACCCCAAGAGCCTTCACACCAACTTTAACAGGCCTCGTTCCTTTCTCACACACAAAAGACGGTCAAGGTAGGGGTGAGTACGGATAGCGGGTAGAACCGAAACTGGGGGGTAGAATCGGAATCGAAACCGAAACCAAAACCTACCCAGAACCGGTACTGTGCGGGTAGGTTCCAGTTCCAATTTTTTGGAACCGATACTGTACGGTTTTTTATTCCGATTCTTGTGTGTGGAGGAACCGGAATCGGAACTGGAACCTGTGAAAAGGGTACCCTGTTTGGAACCTGTAGGGGGTATCCGATTTGGAACCGATTTTTGGAACCTGTTTGGAACCTGTTTTGGAACCTGTTTGGAACCTGTTTGGAAATTTGGACTACAATGAAATATTTGTGAAATGTGAATAATGGAGGGTTTCTATTATTTTATATATAAAAAAATTTAAAATAGAAAAAGTTAAATTTTTAGAATAACCTAATTAAATAAATATACAATACAATTGTACTTATTATACATAAATTACACCATATTAAAAGCTTTAATATATTATAATACATTAATATTAAAGTTTTGATTAATTAAGTGAATAATTGGAATTATGATCCAATTAAAAGTGTTTTACATTTTTAATGTTATTAAAAGAATTATTTTTGAATAAAATAGTATATTTGATTGAGTAATAATATATTTAGTTATTTACTTCAATTATCAAGTTCTAAGTATATCTATAATAAATTAGTAATTAATTAATTATATATGATAAATTGATAAACATTAATAAATTTAATTACTAGTTAAAGATTCTACTAATCAATTATACATTACATTATGTTATGTTACTTAATAATTATAATTTTATAACATTACTTAATTGATTTATAGTATAATTAATTATGCATTATATAATGGATTATTACTTAATTAATTGACTTATAAGTTATAACATTTAGTATATTACTTAATTAAATAATTAGAAATTTAATTAATTCTAGCATTACATTTAGAGATTTATATATAATTACTTAGTCAATTATAACATTTTATTATAAACATTAATACAAACTTAATTATGATAAAAATAATTAATTAAATATACATTAAAAATTTATAGTATAATTACTTATAGTTTTTCACTATAACATTACTTTATAGTATGATTATATAATTAATTATAATATTACATAATTATGATTATAATTATAGACATTATATATAAATATAGTAATACTAATTTATTACATAAGCATTAAATAATACTTAATTAAATGATTAAATTTAATTAATTACAACATTACTTATAAATTTATGGTACGATTATGTAATTAATTGTAACATTAAATTATAATTAAATGATTACTTATTAATTATATATTCTATTATAACTAATAATTATAATATTATATTACTTATAGTATAATTACTTAATTCATTGTAACATTTTACTATTTTATTATAGTATGATTAGTTGATTACATATTAATTATAACATTACATATAGATGATATTTAATTGATTATGACATTATATTATAAACATTAATTATAACATTACATATAAACAAATGATACTTAATTAAATGATGAAATTTAATTATTAAATATTACATTATGTTAATATACTTAATTAAATTAACATTATTACATTACATTATATTATGAATTTATAATCACTTAATTAATTATAGTATACATAGTTAAAGATTACTTAATTAGTTATAATTTTAAACATTACATTATAAACATTAGTAATTTACTACATTATTATTTATTACTTACTTAATTAAATGATAAATTTTAATTAATTATAATATAACATTAAAGATCTATAATCTGATTACTTAATTCACTATAACATTACATTAATATGATCACATAATTAATTATAACATTACTAATAAATGTTTACTTAATTGAGTATGAGTTATGATATTAGTTTTAACATAGTAATACTAATTTACTACATAAACATTAGCACAATATTTAATTAAATGATTAGAAATTTAATTATTATAACATTACCTTATAAACATTTCATTATAAACATTACATTGTAGTTAAATAATTATTCAATTAAATTATACATTATTATATTACATTAATTATGATCACTTACTTAATTATACATTACATAGTTAAGTGATTACATAATTAGTTTGAATTTATAACATTACATTATAAACATTAGTAATTTACTATATTATTACATTATTTAATTAAACGATTAAAAATTAATTAATTATAACATTACCTTATATATTTATAATATGATTACTTAATCAATTATAACATTCCATTATAAACATTAGTATATAATTAAATGATTTGAAATTTAATTATTATAATATTAAATTATAGGTTATATATGATTACTTATTCATTAAAACATTACATTATGATGATCTATAATTAATATAACATTACATAATTAAATGATAACTTAATTGATTAGACATTATATTATAAACATTAGTAATTTACTAATTTACGCAATACTTAATTAAATGATTACAATTTTATTAATTATAACATTACATTATAATTTATGGTATGATTACTTATTAATTATACATTCTATATACAATATTACAATACTTATAAGATTAACAATTTAATTAATTATATATACATTATATTAAACCCTAAACCCAAATGTATATTTGTTAGGGGTGTTTTGTAAACTTTTAAGGTATTTTTGTCATTTGTTAAACTAATAGGGGGGTAATTGATTTTTATAGGGTACCCCGGAAGGAACTGGAACCTACATTTGGTTCCGGTTCTTGAATTGAAGAACCTGCACTGTGCAGTTCCAATTCCGGTTCCTTTTTGGGAACCACATTGTGCGGTTCCGGTTCCGGTTCCGGTTCTCCCGAAAAGTGGAGGGTCCTCGGAACGCCTCACCTCTAGTCAAGGCGCTCATGGGGGTGCCATTAGCTGCAGGGGTGTTCAAAAGCATTTAACCAACCCGGCTAATTGCTTTTCTGAACTGAACTGGTTTTTCGGTTCGGGAAAATTCTCGAATCGAAACCAAACCGGTTTGGAGGGAAACCGGTTTTCCCTTTTTTTTTTTATATAAACTTATTTTTTTTATTTTTCCTAAATAAATATAAAATAAACAATACATATCCAAATAAAAATTAAACATTCATACATATCCTTGGCCACTATTAAAATACATTAAAATTGATATAAATAAAGTCTGAAATGAATATTTTTTTTATTTAATATATAATTATATATAATATATATATATATATATATATTGTATATTATAATATATTGTAAAACCGTTTCGGTTAACCGTTTTTATTTTTTCCCGAACCGGAAATCCGGTTTTTTGAATTTTTGAACCATAACCGAACCATTTTTTCAGTTAACCGGTTTTTCGGTTTGGTTCATTTTTTGCATTTTTTGAATACCCCTAATTACATAGAGTCTTTGACGCTTAAGTTAGAGATCTAGTCTTTATATTAAGACTTGGAATAGATTTATTTTAACAAATGCTTGTTGGATCAATTGATCCGGATAAAATAGGGATATATTTGGCTTTTGATAAGATGCCCATGTATAAAAAGACCTATTTATCCTTGCTGAATTATAAGTAAAAAGAATGATTTAATGGTGAGAGAGAGTAATTTTAAGTTTTATTTAATTCTCTCTCTCATCATAAGTTTAAAATCAAATTTTAATAAGATATTTTCAAAACATTAGATTTGTTACCAAAGCCTAGTTTTAATTTAATTATATGATAAAGAGTTATTATACACTTGACTCATGCCAACAATTATAAGTTTAATTATAATCAAGACATTTGTGATAAAAATTCAATTTCAAACAACATCTTCATTGTTGCCGAAAATTGCTTCCAATACCGCGTTTCGCTCTTCGGATTCCACAGTTCCCTTCCAAATCGAACAATGAATAATGTTTTCCTTCCAACACAAAAATGAGCACTTATTAATAAACAAAACCATACCAAACGAAATATGAACACTTGGATTACAATGGTTGACTTAATCGAATTTTAAGTTGTCTGTGCATAGATTAAAAAAATCTCTTTTACAAAATCTATGAATATTCTTTGAATAGAGATCAATATATATATGTATTAATATTTTCGTTTATTTTTTAAATTAATACAATCTAATTTTATTAGATATACGGAAAATATTTTTTTTACAGCTCTCTCTATTTTATCCACACAACATTTAGATCAATATACAAAAAACATTT